GTGTGAAATTTTCAGTGCAACATGTACCAGTGTCAGAAATGTGTCTTCTTGGGAATGGTCATCTCATTATTTGTGAGATAGGTACATATATTATACTTGGCTGGGCATAAGAGTGTTTATCTCTCAGCAGGCGACCAATCAGGCAAGGAAGTGAACTGAAATAAAATCCCAATACGAGTTTGGAGATTTTCCTTGAATTATGATTTTCAACTGATGTAAAGTAAGTGTGTGGAATTTCAAAGACAGTTTCCTTTGCAAGATTGCAGTAACAATGCTAAACCTCAGGCAGCTCAAAAACATGGCCTTGACTGGCTGCTTTCTGAAGCCCATTTTGAAGCCCATTTTGAATTACTGACACTGCTGTGTCAGTAATTTTTGTGCCTTCACTCCTTTTCATCAGACTTCATAAACAGGATGTAACAAGTCAGGTGGTACCTGCCTTCAGCAGCTTTGAGGTCATTTACTTCCAGCTAAATGATCATTTTGTAGCCAAATACTGCTGCTTGCATTAGCTGTTCACTCACCTTGAATGTAGTTGCAGAGATGAGTCTCTGTTCTGGGAGCACTTCTTGACAAAAAACTTGCAACATCTCCAGGAAGGAGGTTTCACAGAACTGGATTTTCTTGTTCTATGGACACTAGTGTCTTTACTGGGATCACTACAGCTTGCCACATGATATACTCGTTGCAGATGCTCTTGCTTTCAGTAGCCTCTGGATTTTAACTTTGTCAGTGTATTGGGCATAGCACTTTCTGTGCCAAATAACTGATACTATCTGTTCTGAATGAAAGATGGACTCAATTCTGTTAATGGCCTCTCTATATTTGACACCTTGTAGTTTCTTTCTAATGGCTGTTGCCTCTATTATTCTATGCAATCCTTATTCACTTGCTTCATGCATATCTTCTTTATCTGATTCTTGGAAAATAATGCAGAGACTTCAGGAAACTGGAGTGGATCTCCTGAGACTCACTACTGGTTCTATGGTTTACATATAGCTTTAACCAATAAGAATGTCATAAACCACCACCTCTAAATTACGGTGCCTCCCTTGATTTGTAAAAAATCCCTGTGATGTTGCACTCTATATGTTTTATGGAAATATGTTTATAAGTGTGAATATGATGTAACTGGAATATGCTTCATGCAAAGGGTCTCTTGTAAGGTATCATTACAAACCGTATAATCTACTGAGTGTGTTCATCCTATTTGTATGAATGTATCGTTCTTGTATCTAAAACTAGAAATATGAAGTATTACTCTGAAGTCCTATTGTAATTATGCAAAGTGTGGGCCATTAATGGTGGCTTATGATCTTGATGGCTCCCATTAATTAGAACATGTGGTTGTAAACAGCTCTGTTCACTTCTAAGCCTTCCTGTGTGAGTCAGGCCAGAAAGAATGGAGGCTTGGGATCTCACAGGACATGTGCCCATATCACCTGGTACTGCAATCCATCTTAAACCCGGTGCTTTTCCATTTAGAAGGAAGGGTGGAAACCCAGAGAGAGAGAGACAATGGATTCCCACCTTGTGCCAAAGACATAAAAGGGGGTGGGGAACAGAACAAAGGGGGCTGCAGTCATGAGAAAACCCCTAGTTACCACCTGAGCTGGAACTAACAAGAACTGTACCAGAGGAAAGGCTTGGGCCCAAACTAAGAAGGAGTCTAGTCTGTGAAAGAAGCTTATTGGAACATCTCTGAGGGGGAGATTTACCTGTATTCAGTTTCTTAATGTATTCGGCTTAGACTTGCATGTTTTGTTTTATTTTGCTTGGTAACTTATTTGTTCTGTTTGTTATTACTTGAAACCACTTAAATCCTACTTTTATACTTAATAAAATCATTTTTATTAATAAACCCAGAGTAAGTGATTAATACCTGGGAGAGCAAACAGCTGTGCATACATCTCTATCAGTGTTATAGAGGGCAGACAATTTATGAGTTTAACATATATACGTTTTATACAGAGTAAAACGGATTTATTTGGGGTTTGGATCCCATTGGGAACTGGGTGTCTGGGTGCTGGAGATAGGTGACTTGCTGATCAGTTTTTGGTTAAAGTCTGCAGTTTTGGGGGCATGGACCAGACCTGGATCTGTGTTGCAGCAGACTACCATGTTTATATAGCTAAGCACTCTACAAAACAGAGAAAAAGACCTGGGTTCCTGCCCAAAAGAGCTTCTGAGATAAGTTCAGACATACTACAAGTGATGACAGGAACAAGTAGGTAAAAGGAAAATAAAGATTTTAAAGAACACCACATGATGAGTTCCAGTCATTCAGAACCAACACTGCACTGTGTAGAGGGTACAAAGCATGGACGACTTGCTCAGAATTTTTGTTGTAAACGAGAGATTGAATCTTAGCATGGCTTCAAATAGCCCTGCAATTATTTGTTATTGAACTTCCTAACACTGTTTTATAATTGGTCAGACATATTTAGCTTGCTGTCATATCACATTTTAAACGACTTCTTAGGCAACTTCCACAAGAATTAGTAAATTTCATACTGGGTGACACCTCAGAGCAACATTGCTGTACAGGATTTTCCTTCCTGAATCTAGTGTCCACGAGGCACCTCCTCACTGAAAATGACAAACCCATCAGCCCAATACAGGTGAAATTTATAACAAAAAAAACTTTGAATGCACAAATGGCACTCTATCCAATTTGTAGCCATTAAAACAAACAAAAATACCCTAACAAAACTATACACACACATACATTCAAGGAAAGTATATTGGAATAGATTAAAAGGAATTATTTTCTAGTGACAAGTGTCTTGTTTTTCTTTTATTCCTTTTATTTAATTTTTGTCATTTTCACAGGGTCAAATTCAACTCGGTTATAAGCTGGGACAAAAATATTTGCCCCATTTATATGAGCTCAATGTAGCTCACAGTATTTTACTCTGTTTTCCTTTATGCCACAATTTCCTAAGATGCCAAACTCTTACATCAATCATATATGTATTCTTACAACAACTTGAAGTTCCAATCCCCACTTACATTTAAGTGAGCCACTTCACCCACACCATTTAAGGAGGGGAAACAGGATAATAGGCAAGTACATCTTTTCCAGTTTCACTAAAGAATCTTGAAACCAACTTAGGAGGGGTAACTGTTTCCAAGCAAAACCAATGAAAAAAAATTGCCTGACTACTCCTTTAAAAAAAAAAAAAAAAAAAAAAAAAAGAA